TTATTCACTATGTAAGAATTCGTTCACCATGTAAGAACTTGTTCGTTATGCTTCAGAAGATTGGAGACTGACGAGAATTAGGCTTGAGATGGATTAATGATTGTGCATTGAGCATTGACCCCCCTATACAGAATTTTATTGTTGTTAACAACCATTTGATCAATAAATATGAGAGATGCCCTCTCAAAAAAAAAAAATACATTTGGTTAAGGTTATTACTGCCACAGATACTGATTCCTCAGATGGATCTGCAGAAAATCAATTGAAAACCTTCTGTAAAGGAGTCACCATTCTAGATGATATCGAGAACTTTTGTGATTTATGGAAGAGATCAAAATATCAACATGAATAGGAGTTAGGAAGAAGGTTATAATTTCAACCCTCATGGAGGACTGAGGGGTTCAAGACTTCTGTGAAGGAAGTAACTGCAGATGTGGGAGTAAGAGAACTTGAATTAGATGGGGAACCTGAAGACTCAACTGAATTGCTGAATCTCACAATAAAACTTTAACAGATGAGGAGCTGCTTCTTATGGATGAGCAAAGAAAGGGGTGTCTTGAGATGATATCTGCTCCTGGTGAAGATGCTGTGGTAAGTTTTGAAATGACAATAAAGAATTTAGGATACTATGTAAACTTAGTTGATAAAGCATTGGCAGGGTTTGAGAAGACTGACTCCAATTCTGAAAGAAGTTCTCCTGTGGGAAAAATGCTATCAAAGCATCACATGCTCCAGAGAAATCTTTTATGAAAGGAAGAGTCAATCCATTGTCTTATTTTAAGTAATTGTCGCAGCATCCCAACCTTCAGCAATCACCACTCTGATCAAATGAGGCAAAACCCTCCACCAGCAAAAAGACTGACTTACTGAAAGCTCAGATGATAGCATATCTTAGTAATAATTATTTTTTAATTAAGGTATACACTGTTTTCTTAGACATAAAGCTATCACACACTTAACAAACAACAATACAGTATATAATTTTATGTGTACTTGGAAGCCAAAAAATTAATTTGACTCACTTTATTGTCATTATTTGTTTTATTGTGGTAGTCTGGAATTGAGCCCACAGTATCTCCAAGCTACATCTGTAACTGTTTGGATTAACAGGCAGTACTAAATCAAAATGGCATAAGCCAAAATGAAATTAAACTGAAAGTGAGCTTCTTCACCAGAACCCTTTTTTCCAGTGAAAATGACACAGCATAAGACTGGCATGTGCTGCTTGGCAGCTCTGCATCTTAGTTGTATGTCATATAGCCACTTGGAAATAATGACAGCTGTAAGAACTCACTTTCAATTTCTAAATCTGTTACAATTATATCTACTTGTACTTATAAAGCCACTTTCATTGATGTATTTCCATTTTTGAATGAAGAAAATCAATCACACAAAAAATGAATTAATAGATAAAAACACGGCTAAGTTTCTCCACTACAATAATACTGATTCTAAATAAAGTTTGCTGCAAGATTTAAAGTTTTCTACCTTCTACAGCATGGTGTGGAATTTTAGGTGTCAAGTACCTTAGGAGCTTTCTCAATTTCAACAAGGCACATCCTGCAGTTTCCAGCAACAGACAACCTTTCATGGTAACAGAATCGAGGGATCTGCATACCAACCTTCTCACAAGCCTAGAACAAAGTAAAAAATTTCTGCATTAGAATAAACTGACCTCATCCTTGTCTTGCCTAAAACACAGGCCAAAAACACCCATCCCCCACCTATCTTATTAGTCCAATCTGTAAGTATCTGTATCTTCTTTAATTCTTACTTCATCTCCAAGAGATTTCCCTCTTTCTTTGCTCAATTGCAACCCATCTGCTCTGAAGCTGCCCCATTAAGGATCCTGAACATACATATACCTTAATGTCAAAGAAACTGGATGAAGTTTCTTCAGACCATACTGACGGCCTGACTCCGCATTTCCACTCTGAACTACTGTCTACAAACACAGTCCTTCAAACTCTATCCAAGTGGTTTCATACCTGGATTTCCTCTTTGCCTAGCTCCCATATCACCAAGTCCCACCCCGACAATCCCACTGCAATCACTGTCCTTCAGCATAGCAAGATGCTATAGAGTCATTACTTGTCTGCTAGAATTATTAAAAATAGAAAGGTTACATGAAAAGCATGAAGCAGGCTCACAACAAATAAAGGCTATCCTTTTCCCAAACTTACCTACATTAACTAATAATTTATTTCTAATAATTTCAAATGTCTTAATGGGTATCTATTTGGAAACCAGAAGTGAAACAAAAGAATTGCCATAGTTCACTAAGAAAACCAGAAACAGATAAATGATAGCTCACTTTGAAACGCCAACATTTCAAATCAAACTTATTTTCATATAATTTTTCTATCTATAGTTTTCTTAATGAACGTTTATCAAGGAATCTTAAAAATTTTAGAAGTATGAAGGAAATAAATTGGTAATTTAAAAAATATCAGAGCATGCACAAAAATAAAGAATTAGAACGTATGCCTACTTGGAGGACGGTAGTTCCTGGTTCCACCATGACAGACTGACCATCAACAAATACTTCAATCAAGTTGCTTGTTGCTGTGGCAGTTGTTCGAACTGACCATCAAAAATATTGAGGTGAAAAATAAATTAACAGAGTTGTATTTATTACAGCAAAGGATAACAGATTAATTAACTCTATCCTACAAGCCTAAAGTCTGTCCTCGTTTTACACTATTCCCCTTTATTCCTCTAGATGCAAACTTTTAAAATACTGAATCAGGAAAAAGCTTTTTCAATCCTGAAGGCCAGACAGAATATGGTTATCTACTTTTAATAGCAGTTTAAGTCAAGACTTTTAATACCACTGAAAATATGCTGATGGAAGATCACTTATCAAAAGCAGAACGACTGCATCTTCCATTCTGGCACTGATGGTCAGTTCCTACTACTTTCTATTCTATGATAATTTCTATAAACTGTTGAAGGTAAAGGTACATTTTGAAAATTCTATTCAACTTGGGTCATTTTTAAAATTTTCACTTAAAAGCAATTATGCATTTAGGGTCTTTCAAGAAACATTCCATAGACCTATGAATTTACAAAAATAGAAAGTCTAGTACCCACAAGTGCAAATTAAAAAAAAAATACTCACCATATCCTTTAGGAGACTTAGAAAGGCCTACTAAGGCCCTTCTTACAGGTATCCTTAACATATTGCTAGGAATAAAACAAAGAAGCATTATCATTGTAGGGGGAAAAAACCTTAATTACAAACTTTTTGGTAGTATTTTATAGTTTTAAAACACTTCATATGCACTATTTCACTGAACATTCACAAGTCCTGGTATTGTCTCTCGCGTTCTAAAGATGAGAATAGTCAGTCTCAGAGAGATAAACTGACTTGTACAATGTCAAGGGCCTCAGAAGGAGAAGCTAGTGTATAAAATTTGGGCCTTCCAGTTCTATGTGAAGGGCAGTTCCGTTGTTGTCTTTAACAGTCAACAAATGATCAAACCTAAAACACTACCATATAGTAAAATAAACTGCAAGAATAACTGTGAGCTTATCATAAATAGCTGTATAAAATAACACTACCTTTCTGCCTTCATTTCCTACCAATATGCATTCTAATATTCTGTGCTCTGAGCAGTTATCTACTAAATGTTTCTCAAATATTCTCAGCTGGCTCACAAGCCCAATCTTTTGAAGTATCTGGAGTGCCATTTTCTTTGCTGAGTAAAATATCTGTTTAGATGCCTGTTCTATTCTCACTGTACGTGAAACTTTATACAAAATACTCTAATTAAAAGTAAAGATAACTTTTCTTTCTGTTAGCTTATGTATACTTTTAATTGGTGTTACTTATATAATCCACTCTAAGTTCAGTGATCCAGCGATTGTAGAGCTCAATATTAGAGCAGGGTTTCTTAACTTTGGCACTCTTGACACTTTGGAGGTTGGATTCTTGAATCTTTTTACCTTCAGTGTCTATCCTCAAGCTGGCACACAGTAAGCTCTAAAACACTCATTCTCAACCAGGGACAGTTTTGCTTTCCAGGCAATGTCTGTGTTGTCATGAATGCGGGAAAGCTACTGGATTCTAGTGGACAGAGGCCAGGTGAGAATGTTCACGTCCCAAAATGCACACGACGGTCCCCCATAATAAAGAATTTTCCAAAGTGTCAAGGTATCTTTACTTTTAATTAGAATATTTTGTATAAAGTTTCACATACCTATTATGATAAATAACAGAAAATTTCATTAATTCAGATTACAGTAATTCATAAAACTCATTAAATCTGACTTTGTGACAGTGAATTTGCAGACATCGTCTGTCACCTACTAATAATGAGTTGTGTCTGATCCACTATCTTACAGTACATGCATTAGATCCCAAGAACTTTTAAACAATGTAACTTCTTTATTCGCACTGCAATCTTGGATTGATTTCTTTAAATGTCCTTTTCTTCCGTTTCTTCACCAGTGAAAGGAATCAAAATTGCTACGTAACTCAGCCAATGGACAAGAACACAAATAAAAATCGAAGGTGTGGACGGTTGCTAATGCAACAGCAGCCCAACAGTGATGCAGGTCTGTGTTAATTTGGGGGAGAATGCTCTGTCTTAGCCTAAGTCACCTGACATAGGTCCTCTCTCCCGGCCTCCGCTCCAGAAGGGGAATGTCCTGCATTTCCCTTGCAGAGGGAAGGTCATCCACAAGCCTGCATTCAGGCCAGCGCTCCCCGGAGCTTCCTGAACCTTCTCCTCCTTCCTGCTCCATCAGACCAAAGACCAAGGATAACAGTCCTCACCTGCCGGTTCTCAGGGTTCCCGAGGCGACGGGGTGCGATGCGGCGAACAGTCAAGGACAAGAGGAGAATAACGCTTGAGCCAAAGGAAACACTCTAGTCAATAAATTAACGCCTGTGGCCGAGGTACCTCAGCCTTCTCATCTAAACACAGCCTTACCTTCTCCGTGGAGCCGCCGAAGCTGCTCTGCACAGCTGTCTGTTCCTCGCGGACCCCTAAGAGGCCGGGTCGCTCGCCCAATATGGTGGCCTCGGTCAACTCCGGCAAACAGACCTGGAGAACGGAAAGCCAGGAGGGACTTGAAACCCCAGACTCGACAATTTCGCGCTTCGATTAAGTTCGGCAATTTCCGTCAAAGGGACAAGGGCGGGGCGGATGGCGTAGCTGCCGGGAGGAGACGCGGGCGGGCGGGGAGGAGGGACGGCCCGGGCCTGCAGTTCCGCCGGTAGTGGTGGTAAGCAGACGCTGAGCGTCTTCGGTCATCTCCGGCGCTTCAAGGGGCGGTTCCTGTAGTCTTCGGGCGCCGTGGAGGTACTCATTTAAGAAATACCCCTTTTATTAACTTATTCCCAAATACGAGGAACGGACGGCGGATAATTTGTGCGCTACTTTATTCAGAGACTCTGGTTTTTATGTAGAGGTATAATATTAACGTACTTTGACCTTTAACCTTCGGCCGTGTGCGTCGGAGGGAGACGCCTCCGTCTCTATATAAGGAATTTTCCGACCATTTACGGCCTCTTTTCATTTTAAGCAGTCAGTGTGGGCTTGTCGCGCTGATTCACTTTTCTCCGATACCGCCCTGCTATCGGATCCGGCGTCACCATGGGTTTTGGGGACCTGAAAAGCTCTGCTGGTCTGCAGGTGCTCAACGACTACCTGGCGGACAAGAGCTACATCGAGGGGTAAGCGGACAGGCTGGGGCCGGGGGCCGGCCCGGGCCACGTGGCGTGGCCTCCGCTGCTCCTGGAGGAGAGGAAGACCAGCCCCCAGGGCCCTCGCGCGGTTAGAGACTACCAGCGGAAAAGCAGGTTGCTTTCCCCTTAACTTGCTTCAACCAGGTTTTTCGCCTCTTTGCTCATCAGTAAATGTAAGACTGAATGTAGGTCTGTGTTAGAATTTGCAATCCTAGTAGCACAGGTCTACCAACTGAAAGGCGTTCCTCAGGATGGCGCGGAAAACCAGATGGTCCTAGATGTTAAGGGACTTACTTAAAAAAAAAAAAAAACACTAAAGCAACTTAGGTAGCACGCTAATATGGGCGAGTTCCCACTAATTAGTTTGATGGATGCAGCGTTTGTCACTTTTTTCCTGTTGTTTGTGGCTTTTCTTTTAAAGGTGTAATTATTTTTGTATTATCGGCAGGTATGTGCCATCACAAGCCGATGTTGCTGTATTTGAAGCGGTCTCCGGCCCTCCGCCAGCTGACTTGTGTCATGCCTTACGGTGGTATAATCACATCAAGTCTTACGAAAAGGAAAAGGCCAGGTTAAATAATTTTTTAATTTGTCTTAAGAGTAGACTACCCCCTAAACTTAAACTCAGGATTTTAACACGACAAAATTGGGTGCAGGCCACTTTAGTTTTGTTGGGATATTGTACGCTTAATTTCTGTGTGACTTTAGAAGGCCCAGAGACTGAAGTGCTCCATTTTTTCACAGAACAGGTAGAACATGGACAACAGCAATTCAGCTTTTTCCCACACTGCCCTGCCAATGTGCCTGGACCCTGACCTGGGGGGCCCACCTCTGGGGTGAGAGGGTGGCTCATTCATTCAGTCCTTGGCCATTCTTCTGAAACTACCAACAAGGGTGGAAGTTTGGGGAAGTTGGACTCCAGTTCACTAAGAATGGAACTGAGCATACTTAATGAAATCTCAAACAGAAATGTTCATACTGAAAGAGTAAACCATAGTGAGTATTGAATATAACATCTCCCATGCTACTAATGTTTCTTGGGTGAGGAGTTAAACATATAAAAGTATTTATTTGGGAGTATTAAAGGGTAAATTCTTAGTACAAAAGGGGTCTATTGAGAAGCAGTGATGAACACAACTTCTCGTGTAATGTCTGAAAATGACATTATACCAATCTAATAGTGGTCCAATTTAAAATTTTTTTTAAGCCTGCCAGGAGTGAAGAAAGCTTTGGGCAAGTACGGCCCTGCTAATGTGGAAGATACCACAGGAAGTGGGGCTACAGACAGTAAAGATGACGATGACATTGATCTCTTTGGATCTGATGATGAGGAGGTATGACATAAATTTGTCATTGTGCTTAGCACAGGCTGTGTAGTAGCAAAATTGCCCGGATTTGAATCCTGGCTTTACTACTTTTTTACCTGCTTTTTAAAAATTCTGTTTACATGATGAATAAAATCAAATCACCATCTTTCGGCTGAGCTCGTGATGGATTTGTTTTTTTCTGATAAAACTGGTTATTACTGTGGTGGTCCCACCAACTTTAAGCTGAGGAAATTAGTTATTTAAGCTTTTTGAAATTAGTTATATATTTTTTCTTTCCAGGAAAGTGAAGAAGCAAAGAGGGTAAGAGAAGAACGTCTTGCGCAGTATGAGTCAAAGAAAGCCAAAAGTAGGTCATTTTATAATTTGTGCTTCTTTAACCTCATAACAGTGTGAAGAGATTTTTGAAACTTGACCCCCCCCACCCCAAGTAATTTCCTTCCTACTTGTTGAATAGGTCCATATTCTAAAACCACCTGAAGAGGTGGTTTTTCATAAAACTTCCACAGCTACTGGTCTGCAGCTGTTCTTATGGTAGCAGTTGTGGCATTCCTCTGTGGGACATCAACCGTTACACAATTAAATGCCACTTTCTTAGCAAAAGAGAAAGTGGGCCCTATGTGTGACAAACAGTGTATTCTATGGTTTGACTGAGTTGATTCCTTGCAAAACAAAGATTTAAGGGGCTTATACTAAAATGAAAAAATACAATTATTAGAATAATGCTGTTACGTTTTTCTAGAACCTGCACTTGTTGCCAAGTCTTCCATCTTACTAGACGTGAAACCTTGGGATGATGAGACAGACATGGCAAAATTAGAGGAGTGCGTCCGAAGCATTCAAGCAGATGGTTTGGTCTGGGGCTCTTGTGAGTTTAGTCTGCTTTTTGAAGTTGCATTTGGAATTGGCATTGTTTAAACCGTTGTCAGTCAACAGGTTTTTTCTAAGATTTTTCCTTATGTTCTTTTTCAGCTAAACTAGTTCCAGTAGGTTATGGAATTAAAAAACTTCAAATACAATGTGTAGTTGAAGATGATAAAGTTGGAACAGATATGCTGGAGGAGCAGATCACTGCTTTTGAGGACTATGTGCAGTCCATGGATGTGGCTGCTTTCAACAAGATCTAAAATCCATCATGGATCATTACACTTCAATAAAAGCTTAAAAGATAATCCTTGGCTCTTGACTCTGTAAATAGGATGGTGGTGTTTACAGCCCTTCCATTTTGAGTGAAGAAATTCAATGTATAGGTGACTCATAAATAGTATATATTTGGGTCAGCAATTCATACTCAACAGTTCTTAGCCCAAAAGGGGAAAATACCTATTACAAATACTGTGAAAATAGGTAGTTGTTGAGTAGATTATTACAAACTAATAGAGATGGATTTAATCTTAGTACATATTCTGTTCCCATTAGTGATGTCCTTGGCAATGCATGATGCCACCTTTATCCACAATTTTTCACGTTTTCCTATTTGTCTTGTTTTTTTAAAAGAAACCCAAGATGTTGGTTGATCAAGTAATCTGAACCTAGCATCTTCCAAGTTGGGGGTTACACGTGACTGAAGTCACACAACTACAGACCCCTCTGTGTTAAGTGTCAGGAGGTGGGGTGTGTAACTACCAAAGGACATGTAACCCAGAGGTCAGGTAAGAGGATTCCCAGGATTTGGTATGTTAACCATTTTGTCAAGGCTGATGCTGCAAATTTAATGTCTCATTACAGTTGAGGCAAAATTTTGTTCTATTGGATGTGTGATTTTTAAGTACTATTGTGTCTTGGAAGTCACATAGGTAACTGATTCCCAGGCTGTGGTTCATAAACCTGACTTGGGTATAGAGGTGGGGACTAAGTGGGACGTTTGACTTGGATTTGGAAATTTGATCAAACCTGTTGGGAGTTTAGGGACTTCAGTTACTGAGGAAATGCAAGTATATGTACTGAGTGAAGGCAGTTTGTTTAGTCAAGGGACAGTTAAATATTGGAAACAGGTGTGTCTCAGTTTGGGCTTTCTGTAACATTTGATATTTTTACAGTAGTTTTTACAAAAGTGGAGCTTGGAAATAGCTGACCTCTATTTTGTAGTTTATTCTCTGTATATCAAAGAGATTAAAATGAGTTTCTCGTTTTCTAAAGAAAATTTTATCAGACATGTACTGATGAATAAAATCTTCACAAAGCTGTATTTCACCTATTAGACGCAGTCTAAAAAGGTGAAATTTTCAGGCTTGTCAGTATCATGAGAAACAGCAGAGGGCAGCACTTCCATTTTCCGGAGAACTAGCAAGCCTGGGGATTCTGGAAATGCTATGGAAAGATACAGATACAGTAACTGGTGAATAGTAGCCAAAAATAATTCACGGTCACTGACAAATTTAACAGGATTGAGTACTAAATAGTGATGAAAATGGTAATAACTTAAAATTACTAATGACAAAAGATTGGCAATTTGGTTAAGAGTAAAGCTAATGGTCAATCATAGCTGTCTTGTAAATTTTAAAATCATGAAGCATGTGACATTAAAATCGACTCCATGGCCTTGAATAAAAGTATATATGATGGTATCTCATTTGACATTAAAAAAAATAGATAATACATTAACAAAGTTCAAAATTCAAGATGTTACACAGTGAAGTTTCCACAATACCCCAGGCATCGGGTTCACATCCATAACCACCACTGTCACCAGGTTCTTAGGTTGTTCCAGAGCTGGTCTAGGCATACACAAAGACTAACTGTAGCATAAAACCAACTATTCTGCACCTTGCATTTTGTCCATGTAGACTTGGATGTCTTGGAGATTGTATCTTGGATATTCTGAATCAGTACAGAAAAAGCTTTAACTTTGTAACAGTTAATTCATTGTCTCATATTATGTAACAAGTCTATTGGATCTTTAGGTTTCCAGTTTTCTGCAATTACGAACAATGCTCACATTTGCACATGAGCCAGTATACTGAACAGACTGTTTTTGAACCAATGGGCTCAGAAGGCAAATGGATACAGAGATTTTTTTTTTTCTGTATCTGGCTTTGGAGTGGAAGACAAAAAATAGGAGGCCACCTTTTCTTGCATGTCCCATAAATGATTACAAACTGAAACCTTATTTTTCATATTCAGCATCCCTAACAGGGCTGGGCAATGTGAGAATGAAAAATGATTCAGTATCACTACATTAGATGATATGAAAATACTCAAGGGTTGAGAAAATTACTAGAGGAAGGTGATTAAAACAAACTGTTCAGTCATTTTGTGATTAAACAAGTAATACTAAAATTCTGAGGTTGAGAAGGCTAGAATTTAAGACAAAAATTTTTTAAAGAAATCCAGACTAAGCTGGGTGGACCTGATCAGTAATTTGTATTTTAAAAAAGACTGAGAATGTTCCAGGAGGGTGTGAAAGGCAGAATGATAAAGACAGGAATGAAAATACACATTTGAGCGGGAATTAGACCAGTTTGGCTGGATTTTGCAGTGTCTGTTGGGGATTAGATAAGGTGGGGCCACATTGTAGAGGCATTTTAATTATGTAGTCTGGCTTCTTTAAGGGCATGAGGAGCCCTGAAGTTTTTTAAGCCAGAGAAAGACAAGATAAAGGCAGAGCTCTGATCTGGAAATGGTGTCAGCGGAAGCAGGTAAATAAATGTTATAATCCTAACGTAAGTGGAAATGACTAAATTAAGACATATAAACAAATATTTTATAAACGATATAATTTAAAAAATGGAGACTATGAACACTGAAAAATGTTCAAATTTTCATTCACTATTACCATGGAAAGAAATTTATGGATGAGGACACAAATACAAAGATTTCCATTAGTGTTTTGGGATATATGTATTGTTTTCCCAGACAAATAGTCTGACAATGGCAATTACTGTCCTTGGAATAAAAATGTAAAAATACACGCCTCATATACATTGTCTAATTTGGACTTTGTTATAATACGTGGCCATTTATGTATCATTTATATATCACCATTTATTGATGAGGAAACAATTCTGAAAGATGACTTGCTGGATTAAACAACCTGGTGAGAGAAGAGGAACTCAAACCCAGGTCTTCTGAGGCCAGTTAATGCACTGGCAATAAAATGAGTACATTCTTCATTCCTACTTGCAGACGTTTAATCTTACTCTATCAGTGTAACTTGCTCCATACCTCCCACTAATGAGAATGAGAAAGTAATACCACGTAAGAGTAAACTTAAAATGGAAATTGAGACTGATAGACATGGACAGGTAATGGTTGGATGGATAACAGTGCATTCACAAAATGCCCCAAATGAAAGCCTGTCATTTGGAATGTCATTGGCCTTAATGACACTCAGTAAAAACCAAAGGAAAATGTCCAGACTTCCAAATATTCATCCCCCACCAAAACTGTGGAGGACTATTCAAGCCAGACGCCAACTTGAATCTATCCTTACTTTGTCCCTATAAAACAGGACAATTCTCTTCTGAACATAGCTCATGTTTTCCAACCTCTACATTTGCTCTTGCTGGGCCACCTACCTAAAAAGGCCTCTTTTCCTCACCTGTACTTGTTAAAATTGTACTCATTCTTCAAGATGCACTTCAAATACCTTCTGCAGGAAGTCCTTCATATTCTACTCCTACCTGCCCCCTGCAGCCTCCTGGTACAGAATGTTCTTTTGTTGTACTTATAAACTGTCTTGTCTTAAAGTTCTCTGTGGAGCTTCCTTATTTCTGAATCACCAATGCCCGACCAGAGCTCCCTTATTCCTGAGATTTTAATGTTCACTCAAGAGAAGGAAAGGATCTAACATTTACTGAGCAGTTACGATGGTAGAAGATGCTAGGAGTTTCACTGAATAAGTGTAATACAAGCTAATTATCAAGTATTTATAGAGCTAAGAATTGCACTTAGTGCTTTACCTGCATCAGCTCATTTACTTTTCTCAATCATCCTATCTGGCAGGTACTGCTATTGTTATCCCCACTTTGCAGACAGGGGAACGTGATGTCTACAAATTTCAATTTAGCCAAGGTCACAGAGCCAGGGGAGGAGACTTGGGGTCCCCAATCCTGGGTCCTACACTACTCTGGATCTTCCCTCAAACTGAGAACAAAAAACAAGCTCCTGTTTCTCCTGGGAAGTGCCTGTACCGGTTGCTACTTTCTCCAAGTGGATTCCTGTTATATCCCTACTATCAGCTACTATTAAAGCCACTAAAACTGTGGAGTTCTTAGCCTGGGGTCTAAGGACTTCCTGATATTTTACTTAAAAGCATTTTCTCTGGGTAAAAGCCCAGAAAAATAATTTTCATTAGATTCTCAAATGAATCCAGACTTCCTCCAAGAGCTTAGCAGACCCTCCTTACAATATTTTTCTTCTTGTAGGCTCCACTCTTCATCAAACCTTCAAATATACTGAAATCCCATATTTCAGTATAATTTTGAAATGTAAGTTTCTATATAACTATGAAATACTTCATTTGATAGTGAATCTGTGGCATCTTGCTGCACTGATGGACAGTGACTGCATCGGGGTATGGGCGGGGACTTGATAATATGGGTAAATGTAGTAAGCACATTGTTTTTTCATGTGAAACCTTCATAAGAGTATATCAATCATACCTTAAAAATTAAAAAGTACTTCATTTGATGAACAGAAAGGTGTTTACAGACGTAATTAAGTTTTTATTAATTTTGAGTTTCAAGTTTCCTTTTTGTATTCTAGAGCCAAAAATATTTAAGACCTCAAATATTTCCATAGGCCCTCAGACTTACAGGCTCTAGACTCACAAACTCACAAAGGTCAGCAATCACCACCTTTGTAACTTTGAAATGTAACTTCCAGGATGGTACCTGCTCCATAATTTCCTTCTGCCTTAGTGGCTGAATCCCCTTCCTACTCCTCAGCCTTCCTCTCTCCCACAGCCCTGAGAGTCTCTCCATTTGCTCAAACTAAGCATGGGCTCTCGGAGTTCTCTTTTCTTTTTTGGATCCTCCAGCTCTTCGCCTGATCCTGGGAAACCAGGCTCTGTTCCTTGAGGGCCACGTAGAACCCAGGGTATAACAATCTCAAACCCTGGAGGGTCAGGGTTAAACAGCCGGAAGCTCACGATGAGCAATTCTCTCCCTACCTTCTCTCACCCCAAGCTGGATATAGCAGAAACCATGACATTTGGGAGTGACAGAAGTTTGGAATATGCTGAGCTAGCCACACATTTTGGGGGAACAATATCCAAAACCAGGCCTGACTATTGCATGGGGCTAACAGTGAAGAACACAGCCAATAGATGACCTAACGAGCATTTCCAAAACTAAGAGATGATATAAAAAAAGATAATGATTCAAGAAATAACACAGCTCTCCTAATAACTTTCAAAATAAAACTGAGAAATAGGAAACTAAATCTATTTTTAAAATTGTAGTGAGTAGCAGACTCTGTATTCCTTTAAAAAAAAAAATACCAGCAGAAACGAGGGATAGGAGGATCTTTAGGAAAACCCAAAGGCAGGGGAATATATTTCTAGTGTTTCTTCACCTCTACATTGGATGCCACCTTTCCTCCCTGAACAATCTATACTTTCCTTGGCTCTCTTATAGCACTTATTATGGTCTATCTTGTTTTAGGAATGTTTCCTAAAATGTAAGTACCTTAAGCATCTTGGCATCCCTCACAATATCCATCTATTATGGTTCTGTATACCTCTTAGGTACTAATCTATTTGCAAAAGGGGTAAATGAATAGAGGTTAAAATACTCTATAAAGTCTGAAAGTGTGACAGATTTGTATCATGAAGAGGTCACTGACTTAAAATAATTTTTTACTAGTCTTAGATGCCTATGTAAATTCAGTTAGAGCACTAGAAGTAGGTGGAATCTATCAATGTGTCACATGTGCTTTCTTTTTCTGAAATCATTTTGAGATTGGGCTGGCCTATCTACTCGCAGGGTCAATGTTCTATGTTTACAGCAATCTTATACATACTTGCACATATCCAGAACTTTCCAAAAACGTTTATTTTTCTAATGATATCATGAGGATTAAAGATGAGAGCACATCTCCATTGAGAGGTGGGGTCTATGTCCCCTCTCCTTTAATCTGAGCTGGTCTGTGATGCTTTGGCCAATAAATACTACGAAGTGATACTGTGTCAATGTTGGGCATAGCCTTTAAGAGAACATGAAATTTCCACCTTGATCTCTTGAAGCACTAAGTCGCCATATAAGGAGTGTCTGGCTATGCTGAGGTGTCATGCTGGATAGCTGTGTGAAGAAAGAGGAGAAGAGAAGGGGGAGGTTGGGGGAAGGGGAAAGGGAAGAAGAGGGAAGAGGAGAGAGCGGCTGCTCAGGCAACCCCTACCCACTCCAACCTCAGCCATTTGGCTCATCCCAGGTCAGCTGCGACTCAAGACACTGTGAAGCAGAATGAACTTCCCTTCTGTCCCTTTTTTGAGTTCCTGATTCTCAGAATTGTGAGATATAATAAAATCTAAGCAATTAGATTTGGGGGCTGTTTACTAAGCATTAATAGTTAACTGGAACAATGCTTTAAACTACTATAACCAACTATTACTTTAATTCATAAATGTATATACACAGATTACATGAAATTAAGGACACATGCTGCATTTTAAGAATGTCAAATAGGTTACTTGTGCAAAATTAAAGTGAGCTTAAACAAACACATTTTAACATTTTTGGAATTAGTTAATCATATACTTAAGATCGAACACTTAAAAGTTACTTAGTTGAAAAATACAGTAACTCATATCTCAATAGTGGTGATCAATCCCACTATGGTATAGCAAGAATAATATAGATAATTTAAGTTGCAGGGGAACAAAGGTAAGATCTGTCCTAAGTTTTGTGTCCACACAAAAGTGTGATGCCAATAAATTGACCAAAACAACAAGATAAGGTCAGCTCTGTATCTTTGCACTAAATAATTGGAAAGCGCCTTGTTAGGGGACCCACACACAAGCCTTACACTGATTTGTGGAATAAGAAGAATTCACTGGACTATTTCCAGGAGACACACGCTCTTGGTTTCAGAGTTCCTGAGCTGCTCGCTCACTGTGCCAGAACAGCTGACTTCCCACAGCGTGTGCTTGAGTATTTCTGCAACTGAAGCCCGAAAGCGTGCTTGGAACTTCTTACTAATGAGGACATAAAGGATGGGGTTCAAGCAACTATTAAGGAATGCCAAGCCAGTGGAGAGGGGGATTCCGGCCTGCAGCACCTGCTGGAAATAGCTATTGCTGTGAATCGTGAGCTCCCAAATGTTAAACAGGTGATAAGGAGTCCAGCAGATCAAAAAGGCCATAACCACAGCCAGGATGGTCCAGAAATGCTTACTGGAGACCAGGATGCTTCGCCTCTTCACCTTGAAGAAGAGACACAAGTAGCAAATGCTCATTGTCAGCAAGGGAAAGAGGTACCCCAAAATAAACTTCACCCAGGTCAGAACATGGTGCCGCATCAGAGTGAGGTCAGGATCATGCTCATGGAAATTGTTATAGCAGAGAGTGTGGTTATTGAACTCCACAGTGTTCCGGAAGTAGAGGGCAGGACCACCCATCAGAGAAGCCAAAAGCCAGACAAATACAACAACAATCTTGGAGTTCCTCAGGGTTCGGTGCTGATGAGATAAGACAGGGTGGAGTAAATGGATATAACGGTCTAGGCTGATTACTGTCAGAAAAAAAACACTGGCAAACATGTTCAGCTGGGCAATGAAGGAATTGGCCTTGCACAGCCAGATGCCAAAGGGCCAGTGGAAATTCATGGCCACATAGGAGATGTACAGGGGCAGGAAGAGAAGAAAAATGAAATCTGCAACAGCCAGATTAAGGAACCAGAGAGTGGTGACTGTCTTCTTCCACTTGAACCCTGTGAACCAAATGACAATGGCATTTCCTGGGACTCCCAGAACAAATGCTAGACAGTACGACACCAGGGAGACCCAGTGAATGACTCCTGGGTGGACCTGCTCCTCCAAATCAGACTCTGGGGAGTAATATTCCATGGCGTAGGAGTAGTTCTCAAAGTCTTCAAATAATATTTCCTCTAGATCTTCCATGGTCTTGCCAAGTGGAGAATGAGGATATCTACAGAAGCAAATTTAAAAAGAAATAAAGCAATTTTTAAAAGAACTATTCAGTACACAACATAAGAATAAAAATATGCCATCTGAGGTACTAGAAATAGTATATTTCTTGGTAGAACTTGTGATTACACTCCAGGTGCCCTCAGTTTTGCTCTCATGTTCCCCAAAGCTGCAAGAATTCATTTTTGTGAAGTATTCAGTAAGTGCTAAATTAAAATGACTGATTCTACAAGGGCAATTCCTCTGTTCATAAAGACTGTGGGCTGACTAGAGAGAATCTGACATTCAACAGGCATTTATTAAGTTCTTACTATGTATTATTTTTTTATGAAAGGTGCAAATGAAAACATATTAACACTTATGTGATGATGACTTCAAAATCCTTATTTGTACCCTGACTTCTTAAGCTCTAGACAGAGTTCCAACTGCTTCTTTAACCCATCCACCTGGATGCCACAGGCAAGCACTGGAGATTCTGACCCATTGTTTTGCACCACAGATGTACTGATTCTATGTTTATGAATGCAAACATGTTAATCAGAGCTATAAGAATATGGAAGACTTTTCAACTAAAAGAATCTTTTGGAGTGAACTTGATTATGACCATTTAATTTCATTATTAACTATAGAATACAATTAAACATTAAGTTTTTACTTTACTGGAATTCCATTATTTTGAGTTACTTTGAATTAATCCTTTTCTACATTTACAACAACCAACTTATTAATTACTTTTATTTTATTTCTGTCCATACCAAATTTTACCTACTATCAAAGGAATTTTTTTTTTGTGGCCTTTTTTCCCCCCTATCAAGGTGAGTTTCCCTGGGTTAAGAACTCTTAAATGTCTATTTCTTAATCAAAAAAAGTTTACTGGTTACAATTTTAGCCTCATCAATTCTATTTTGTAAGACAGAATTCATCAATTCTATTGATTTTTCTAAAATCAATTCTATTTTCTATTAGTATTCAAAATCAAGTACAGAAAGATTAATAGTTGTATTCATTTCATGGAGCTACAATCACTAATGGGGCAAATATTTAAGATTTGGGATTATAGTAGGGTTAAAACGAAGAGGTCAAAACATCTTGTGTTGTCTAGAGGCACCTCACCCTCGATTTGACTCACAGTGGGTTCATTATCCCACCTAGACTTGTCTGAGGAATCCGGCAGGGCATAATTAAAAAGCAAAAGCATCTCATTAGTGTTCTCTCAACCCCAGACCCAACCAGCTTCTCTATTTTTCAATATTCAGTTCAAAAGACACCTTTTATTGGAAACATTTCCTGAGATTACCTTTCCCCAGATAATTATAATAACTATTAGTATAAATAATAGACAATATTATTGAAAATTTACTATGTGCCATGCATGTATGATCTAATTTGACCCATGTAAGAATCTTATAAAGTTGGTAAGTAGTACTATTGTTATTGACATTTACAAGAAAGGATACTGAAGCCTGGAGAAGCTTCACACAACCTATTAATTAGAGTCTAAGTCTAATTAGAACCTTCTAATTAGGAGGATCTCAGCTCAAATCTGTTGGACCCAAAGCCCGAGCTCTTAACTACCAAGACATTCCCCTCATACCGTACTTAATTCACTACACTGTCACTGATGTACCTTTAATTTCTTCCCTACCTAACTGTGAACTCCTTGAGAGCAGTGACGGTCATTTCTGTACCTCACAGTGCCTAGTATAAGTCTTAGTATATCACTGGTGCTTAATGTGTGTTTGGTAAGTGATTGGCTCTGCTATGTATCCTTTTCAGAACCAAATGTAATTTTAATAGCTCAGATGAGAGTCTGTGAGTTCACCCCTAAGTCAATGTCATTTCCAGAATCTCTCTGACCTTGACCCACAGTTCTATCACCAGGATCCTAGCTTCTTCCTTGAGACCAAGTCCCTTCTTCATCTGTCTTATTCTAGTGAGCAGGAACTGGCTTCTTTCTTGCTCCCCTTTTCTTTCAGATCTGGGAAATGACTCTGCCTTCTCCTCTCCTTATGGTGGCTGATCCTTCTCAGTGTCAAATCCTTTCCAGTCTTAAGTCCCCTACTCAGTCTTGTTTTTTGCCTGTATGCTAGGACACCCTTACCTTCCTGGTGCCCAGGCTATTAGCAATTTTGAAGCCAAATGGCCTAGGTAGTGGTCTAAATCACCTTACAAATCCCTAAGCACTAAGTAGAAAGAACCTCATTACCCAAACACAGAAAGCCCATGGAGGACTCCTAATTGGAACACAACCAGTATGCTGGCCAGGAGTCAGGAGCCTTGCTCTTCCAATGCCTTTACTGAGCCTGCTGGGCCAGAGGGATCACAGCATCTGCTAAAGGACGCCAACCACTCCTCTTCCCACTTCTCCCGAGGTAGGGAAGGTACTTTGAGGATGAGTGATCTATCTTATCAATTTCAGAATCCCTTCAAACAAAAAAAATTAAAAAACCTGCATCAGAGAGGTTCCCAGTTTTCCAGAAAGCAGTTGAGTTGATGCAAGAACCAGTTAATTCAGGCTTGGAGGAAGATCTTCAAGAGTTGCTGAATGTCGCCCAGCTGAAGCCTTCATGAGAAACATAAGCTAGGAATTCCCCTATGACTTAGATGTTTATGTATGGTGGCAACGGTGAGGAGAAGGAGTAGAATGGAGACAAGAGAAGTAAGACAGAATTCAGCAACTGTCCTACTGAGTCCTTGGGCAGACACAGTTAGCCCTTTGAGACACATTCTTGTTTAGTTATTATATCTAGTTTACACACTGCTTCAAAGTTTCCAGGCACCTCCTGATCTAATTGAATTTTTAAACCTCATTTAGACCTACCCAAACATCCAGAAATGAACTATATTAGGGGTGCCATAACAAAGAAACCTACACTTAAAGTCTTAGAATTTTAAAATAACCAAAGAAATTTGTGTCTCACAGCTCTGGAAGCTATAAGTCTGAAATCAAGGTGTAGGCACAGTTGATTCTTCCTCAGGGCTGTTAGGGAGAATCTGCTCCATGCCTCTTGCCTAGCTTCTGGTGGTTTGCAGGCAAACTTTGGGGTTCCTTGGCTTGTACATTGTGGGGAAGTTGGGGTTCCTATGGCCAGGATCCTCACTGAACTTAACCACTGATGATGTAACTGGCCTGTTGCTAGGCTACCGCTTCCACACCAGTAGGCAATAAGCGATTATTGCACTATATGGAGAGCTAGGCCCAATGCTCTGGGCAGAGGCAGAGACGCTAGTGCTCAACCTGCCACCAGGAGAACAAGCCGGGTGATAAACTCTTTCGCCCCAACAACGTCCTACTGTCATTTCTTTGGTCACGTTGAATCCATAGTGAACTTGCCTGGGGATGAAAGCCATTGGCAGTACATATATGCATCACCTGATATCCACCTTCATAATCATATGGCATTCTTCCTGTGTCTTTGTGTTCAAAGTTCCCCTTTTTATAAAAACACCAGCCATACTGAATTAGAACCTACCCTAATAATCTCACTTTAACTTGATGATCTCTGTAAAAATCCTACTTCCAAATAACACTGTGAGATGCTGGAGGCTAATACTTCCGCCTTTTATCTTTTCTTGGGGGGGCCACAGTTGAACCCATAACATTAACTCAGAGCTATCAACCACCATTTCTGAATCCTGATCACTCACGCACTCACTGAATATTTATTAAGTGCCTACATCTGTCAGGCACTGTTCTAGCTGATTATTACTCTTCACTAAATAAGACAACTTTCTTCCCTCTTAGATTTTAGATTCTAGCAGGAAGAGATAAACAGTAAGAAAATAAATAAATATAATGAAAAAAAAAAAGCAAACCACATAGTATGTAAAAAAATGGCAAGTACCATAGAAGTGTTAAGTCACGTGGATATTTCAGGCAGGAGTATTCCAGGGAACAACAAAGTATTCCAGGGAACTTTGCACAGGGAACAACAGTGCAAAGGCCCTATGCAGATGTGTGTCTAACATATTCCAGGAACAGTAAAGACACCAGTATGTCTAGAACAGAGTGAGGAAAGTGAGCAAGGGACAGAGTAGAAGGAAAGAAGCAACAAGCATGTGAGAGGTCAGATCATGAAGATGTTTGTTGTAGCCATTGTACAACACTGGCTTTCACTCCAAGGGAAATGGGAGGCCACTGAAGAATTTTGAGCACAGGGAAAAAGCAATCTGTTTTATATTATAGATCCTTCTTTCTGTGAATAGTCTGAGAATAGACTGCTGTGTGTAGTGGTGGGTGGTGGGGCAAGCAAGTACAGAGAGGAGAGACCAGTAAGGAGATGACTGCAATGATCCAGGCTAGAGATGGGGGTGCCTTGGATCAGGATGGTAGCAGCAGAGATGATGAAAAATGATTGGATTCTAGATCTATTTTGAAAATAGAGTCAATAGGTTTCTTAATGCACCAGATGTGAGAGAAAGAGAGGATTCAAAAATGACCCCCAGACTTTGGGACCTTCTGTGCCAGAGTCCAAGGCCCTCCGCTACCCCTTTTTCATCTGCTTGCTGTCTAGAATATGGATGCCGTGATGAGCCATCACGTATAAGGTGGATGAGGAAACCGTGGTTTTTCACAAGGTAGAAGCTCGGGCTCCCAGATGACTTTGTGGAGCAGAGTAGCCCTACTTCTCGGGTCAACTGTGTAAGAAGATATTTCCACTGCTCTTTTGGTCTTTTCCTAAGGCAGGGGAACCTATATTCTAACTAATTTAGCTTTTCTGGGCCTTGTCATTAAGCACTGTGGTGGAGATCTGGCAATGCCTAACCCTGTTAACAGATGTTATAAGAAACCCTTGAGGTAAGGGCTGCTCCTAACAATGGTCTTGGCTCCCAGAAGCTTCCTGGAAGGGAGAGCGGGGAGCTTCCAACGGGAGGAGGAAGAACCTGACCTTGTGAGAGGCATCTCTCTTACCACAGCAAGAGTTGGGGAGCCACTTAAAGAAAACCCTTTTTAAGCACAGAGACTGAGTATGAGGGAGTTTCTGCACTTGACTCTGGTGG